CCCCCCCCCCCACCCTGCCTCACCACCTTCCGGTTCACCCTTGTGAAACATAGCCTAAGCCGGCCATATCGCTTCGTCAAAGCGTTGTGGGGATGCGAGGTCTACGGTCTACCGAGTACGGCAGCGTCTAACCCCCCTCCCGCCAGCGCGATGAACCCACCTTGACGATCATGCCGGTGACAACGTAGGGGTCCATGTCGGACGAAGGCCTACGGTCCTCGAAGCATCCCTTCTGCTCTTTCTCCACGTCGCGGCCGATGCGGATGGACGCCCCGCGGTTGGCGACGCCGTACGAGAACTTGTCCATCGACGCGGTCTCGTGCTTTCCGGTCAAGCGGCGCTCGTTACCCTGTCATCACCGTGTCGTGTGTTAGTCGTGGTGTCAATGTTTTTTGTGTTTTTGTGGCACACGACGCTTGTTACTCTGTCGTCATTCTTGTCATTCGTTGGTGACGGTTTTGCTCCCTCTTGGAGCCGTGGGGGGGACTCTTGAAGCAGGCGGACAGTTCTTGAAGCAACGGGGACGAACAACCCTTGCACACACCTCCCGGGAAGAATCCGCAAAACGAGAGCATGAAAAAAAAAGAAGAAGCAACAACGCAAGCTGTAAACTCCACACGCCGTCTCAAGAGGTCAACAAATAATAAAACACCCGCACAAAGATGAAAAAAAAAGATGCCAGGGGCAGCGAGCGGGTGATACAGCCTCAAGAGACCACAAACAGAAAAATAAGCAGCACGCATACACACAAAAAAAAGGATTCACCTCGCCGTAGGCAGCGATGTGCTCGTCGTGCTTCCCACCGAGCTTCTCGATGGCCGCGATGATCTCCTTGTAGCCACCACCTGGCGCATGGGCTTGGTGGAGTAGTTGGTGTGGCACCCGGCCCCGTTCCAGTCTCCCGCGATGGGCTTGGGGCCGAGAGACACGATGACGCCTAACTGCTCGCACACGCGCTGGAGCAGGCAGGTAGCGGGAGATCCACAGCTCGTCTCCAGAGCAGATGCCTTCGCAGGGGCCCACCTGAGAATAGTCACGGCGAGTGGGACGGGGAGGTTGTGAGCTGGAATCAACAATAGGAGGCAATGCATTAAGGAGGGCAGGAGACGACATTGCGGAAATGGTTGGAACACAGCTCGTCTGGGGAGGCGACGTCTTCGCAAGGGCCCACCTCTCGAAGCATTACTCATAGAATTAGGCTCGCCGATCCCGGGCATATACACGAACTAGCCTCGCCTAGCCAGGATGCAACCTTTTACCATACGCTAGATACCACCGGGGGGGGGGGGGGGGGGNGTAGAGGCAGGCCTTGTAGTGCGCCTCTATGACGTGGCGGCCGAAGGCGTTCTCGTACCCGATGGAGCAGTAGTACGGGCCCTGGGGTCCCGGGTATCCGCTCTTGGGCCACCCGACGGGGGTGACGCCGTCTGCCTCGAACAGGGTGTGGTCCTGCTCGATACCGAACCACGGCACCAAGTCCTTTGCCTGCGAAATTCAAGTGGTGGTCGTATACAAGGCGGTTGCGACGAGTTTGTTGAAAAGGCGGGAGAGGATATGTTGACTCCTTCAAAGAGAGCTTAGGCTTGAGGTTAGGGTACCCGAACCCGAAGACTACTTAACTGCTGTGGTGTTTGCCGGGAGGTGGTGTCGAATGAAGCACTTGAATAATCATGCGCTGCCATAGTGCACGTACGTCGTCAAATGGAAAAGAGGATACCGTAAGAGTCGGAGAGATGGCATCCTCGTGTCCGCGTTTTCGTCATAGCGAAATTCTCCACACCTAGGACGGTTCATACACCAACCGATACCTCATAGGAGAGTCCTTGACGAGATGTTTCCAAAATTACGACCATTTTCGGCAGTGGTACCTCCACGGGTGTGGAGAAAAACGCTATAAAAAAAATGTTACTTGAACACGGGGGTGCCATCTCTCCGAATTTACGGCATACCAGGTATTCAAGATACGTGGCGAGGGCGCCATCGATCGGCATAAATAAAAATCAATTTCACCCAGCGATAAGTTGTCGCAAAGCTCACCTTCGCCATGATAGCGGCGCACTCCTTGCGGGTGTTGGTAGGGAGCAGGGTCCCGTTCGGCTCGTAGGTGTCGCGCAGCACCATGATGTTGTCGCCTCCGCGGAAGGGTTCGGGGTAGATGGCCTGGGGGTAGATGATCACCTCGGAGTCCTCTCCGGGCGCCTGGCCGGTGGAGGAGCCGTCGTAGTGCCACTTGGGCTTGGTATTTATTTTGAGGTTGAAGAAGTGAAAAATAGCAACAAGAGTAAATCCACAAATTTGGGGCTTGAGATTTTATTCGCGGTTGTAAAAAAACAAAACGGTTGAGAGACCGAGGAGCCTACTTTCGGCACGGTGTATGCTGATTGACATGATAGTCTAATGGTTGAATCGGTTTTCGCTTCACGCGTATTAGAGTCTTTTCCGTCACCGACACTCTGGCCAAAAGAACACCCCAAGACTCTCTCTAGTTCGCAAACATTTGCAAGCGGAACATACCAACCGACGATGCAGTGTTGACGAGTTGCAATCGCTCCCAAAACCAACGAATCTATGCATACAACCGGTGAACTTTCTCTTGTTTCACTAACTTTCGCTGGAGGGAAGATCAACTTGCTGTTCCCTCTACAAAATGTCTGTCTTGGCACGAACGAAAAATCTAACCATTAGCTTGTTTCGACCTCCCCTCAAAGGTGTGCTGACGGATCTCGGGGGAAGGCCAACAGCAGCAGTGGTCTTGCATTGAGGCAGGCAAGGAACAAAAAAAACATTCATGAAAACATTCATGAAAACATTCATTGTCATGTAGATACCGCAACAACGAATAGAACGTGAGTACACGAGAGCGGCAACTGCCGAAGTAGGTCGTACGTACACATGAGCGCCACTCCCTTTCTTGTTCACCCTGTGTAGCATGGTAGCAGAGAAAGGCGGCTTCTCTCTGACCGGTCGCTCGGGACACAAATTCAAAGGAATGCAGGTTGTTGGGTTTGGTATCGGTGGAGGAGAAAGATTGGTGTAAAACGATACAGGTCATGTTCTCGTTATTTTTTTCTTGATATCCATACGACACAAAAAATCCAATCCCTTTCCGTTATTTAGTTGTAATTAAAGGCACGAGCGCGTCAGCAAGCGACTTGCCCGCATCTACGAGTCAAACAGGGTGACCACGCCGGAGGACGAGCGTCTGCACAAGTTTTAGATTAAAAAGAAATAAAATTTATAAGTATTTTTTTTAATCTATAACTTGTGCAGACGCTCGTCCTCCGGCGTGGTCACCCTGTTTGACTCGTAGATGCGGGCAAGTCGCTTGCTGACGCGCTCGTGTCGTTAATTACAACTAAATAACGGAAAGGGATTGGATTTTTTGTGTCGTATGGATATCAAGAAAAAAATAACGAGAACATGACCTGTATCGTTTTACACCAATCTTTCTCCTCCACCGATACCAAACCCAACAACCTGCATTCCTTTGAATTTGTGTCCCGAGCGACCGGTCAGAGAGAAGCCGCCTTTCTCTGCTACCATGCTACACAGGGTGANTCGTCCGAGGAAGCCCTCAAGCCAATCCTTCTCCGGGCCCTTGTCACGGTTCCACGGGATCGGCCGACCGTCGTTGCAGAGCAATCTCACGCGTTCCGTGAGGTCTGCGGTGCTGAGAGGAATGTAGTTTCTACCAGCGTACAGCAGGAGATCGTCTACCGCATCCTCGTCGGCTTTGGTCATGACAGTCCCGGGGCCAACCCTCGCGTCCATGGCGCACACACCGCCCAGGCGCAGCTGCAGGGTGGTTCTACCCACCCCAAAGCCAGCAGCAGGGGCTGCCGCGTCCACTCTTTGCCGACCCATGCTTAGCAGCAGGAGTCCGAGGAGGCTCAAGATGCCCCACATCAAGGGGCTGGTGGGCACCTTGCCGTATCTCGTGGCTGCGTGACCCGATCGGCACGCTAAGGTATGCGAGTTAAAAAGATTGTGCCCTTAATACCCCCCTGCACCTAATACCCTCCGTTGCCCTCTCTCAATATATGCATTTTTTTTTTCCTCCTTTCATCATTGGACTTTGTGGTCTGCCCCTCTGGCCCCCATCCTCCACTCCTACTAGCTGGACGACCCAACCGGGGTCACATATCAGGGGGGGGTTGGACCCCTTCCTGCGGTTCTTGTCTGAGATGTTTTTATCGCGAGAAGAGTGCAGCAATCCCTTCCCTCGCGACTCATGAAGTCGATCAGATTTACTAACAACGAGCTTTGCAGCGCGTCCCTTCCAACGGAGACCAGGATTTCATTAGTGACAAAAAAAATATACTCTGTCGGGACTCGCGTATGTACATGTCTAGCGGGAGTAGACCAAGTTCAACATTTGCCCAAGACGTTTTCAATGGCACCACTTATCAACAGGTGTTGATGATCGTTGTGGGTTGAGCGAATGTATATTTGCTGCGGTTGCTGCTCTGTGTCCTGGTACGCGTTCGTTGCCAACCGTGATGCAAAAACAGCCCAAAAATATGCATACAACTGGGTAATTGAGTGTGTCTTTTTTTCGTCCTACTTATTATGGCGACAGTCCCCCCATTTTTCGTGGTGAGACGTGTGCTACACTTTTCAGTGTATTTTTTCGTACAACTACAACCATCCAGGGTCACTCACACAGAAGGGGGCAAAGTAAAAAAACACCAGGGCTTTTCTTCTATTTATTTCTTTTCATGCCCCACCTTCCTCCTGCGGTGCGTGCTGAACTATATTTTTATCGCGAGAAGGGTCCAGCCGTCACTTTCCCTCGTCAACCGTGCTAACGTCGTAGTTTGGTACTCACGAGAGCTTGTTAACTATATTTCGCTTTCACCCGCACATTTCGCAAATTTTTCATCCCATGGGGATTCAAACTCACGACTTCTTCTGTTTGCGGATTGCGATGATACCACTAGACCACCGGGGTGAGTGTCTTGGAGGGGATTCGAGCTTAGTAACAAGTGCTCATGGTGGCAGGGTTGCCTTCACCCAAAGGTGGGATGGATACTTTGTCTAACCAACGTTGTACACGTACAACACAGAGAGGGAGAAGTCTGCAGTATATTGAGTCCCGCGTCCCCCCCCCCAAAAAACTGTGTTTTCACTCTGGGCTATGGACCTTTCACGTACTCCCGCCTCATTGACAAGAAAAAAAACAGAACAAGGCCAAGATACCGAAAAAATGTTGTGTTTGTAGACTACGTGTACGAAGAGAAGTTGGATTCATAGCAGAACCTCCACTTGGAAATAAATGTGCCAGGCGACGCGGGAGTCGTTGACCCACGGCCGTGTGCATGGGGGGAGCGCGCGCTTCCACAGATCAAAACTTCCATCGGGAGACAAAAGGGGTACGGACGAGTGAGTCGCTATCATCATGCCCCGTTAGTCTACGCAGCAAAATCGATTAAGCAAACATATGGGATAAAAGTATTCAATCCGTACTTTGGGGTTAGGGTTAGGGTTAGGGATAGGGTCTGCGTGCCCTCTCCCTGTTCTCTTTCTAGATAATCTTAAAATCTCTTGAAATCCCACGTAGGCGGTCCTCATGGCCGGTTCGCCGCGTAGGGGGTTCCCTTCAGGCTTGTTGTATGCACGGGATGTGGTATTTCCGCAAGGGCGAAAAACAGAGAGGTTATCGGGCCAGGCTAAGAGCAGCCGGTTCGCTTGATGTGGTCCGGAGAAGCAACGCGAGGGAGGGTGCTGCCTCTCTTTCGCGGGCTCTGTTGAGACCCTGGTATCTAGACGACAAGAACTCGTGGAAGTTATACCGCGGAAGAGGCGGAAAACATGCGTCATATATACCGTGACACAAGATTACACACCCCGGTGATAATATTTCTGAGTTTAAAAATATTTATCACCGGTGTGGTATCCTGTGGGGGGTGTGGTATCTTATGTATCCCGGGTGATAAAAGTGCAGCTCGCAGGGAGCCCTAAGGGGGTGTGATAAACCGGGGGGGGTGATAGCACGTCGGACCACCCATGTTTGGGGGTGTGATAAATAGGGGGTGTGATAAAAAGGGGGTGTGATAGCACGTCCCAACACCCACGTGTGATGGTAAATGAAGGGGTTTGTTATACTTCCCCGCACATACCATGGTACGCCACCTACCGTAATGTCATACTGCGAGATGTGGTAAACAGACGGAGCTCAACGGAGGTGACGAAACGCTTGAGCACATGACCTCGACGATGTATTACCCGCTCAACGCCAAAGAAAGTTTCAAACAAAAACGGACTTGAATGGAGCAGAAAAAAACGAAACAAAAAATGTTAGGATCGAGGCCGCCCGCGCCCCGCGGCGCTGCGGCAAGTAAAGTGTCGGCTGGGAGCTAGGTATACGTTATGACCCAGGAACGGCGGGGACAAGAACCAAAAATGATAACGGGTCCATCTACCAAGCAGCATCCGTGTTTCTATCATGATTGCAGGATCAAAAACTAAAAACACAAAA